GAGCCCAGCCCAAGTCAGGCTCCTAAGCTCAACTAAAGCTGACCAACCTGATGGTTTGTTAAACCTACATAGATCATGAAAGAATTTAACAAAATCTTCAAAGCCAGAAGGCATCACACATCTCTTGCTCACGTAGTCACTTTGGAAACACAGAAGAAAGCAATTCACAATGATCTGTATGTAATCCGTATATTACATTCATTTCATCTATATTTGGTTTTACATATGAAGTAATTTTAAAGACCTTGAAAAGCATGGCGGGGTGTTACACAGGAAGGTTTGGGGGGAGGAAAGGAAAAGGGGAAATGAGGTAATCATATTATAATCTCAAAACATTTTTTAAAAAATTATTAGAACTTGAAAACTCCTGTTTGCTCAACAAAAACACAGTCCTCAGGATGTCTGGAGCATGGCTCTTGCCAAAATTTTCCAGGAAGCCGTGGCCTACCAGGACCCTGCCTTCAGATTTTTAGTTTCCAGACCCGTCTATTGTGATTATATATATTATACACGCAAAAACAATCCATAATATACATTTCAAAGAACACATCCTTTAAAGGCTGTATAACATTCCTATGGAATTATAATGACTTACTTAGCAAACTCGAGTTTGTTGAAGATCCTGAGAATTTTCACCATCGTAACTGCTATAATCACTCCTAGAAATATATTGTACTACTACCCATTTCCTTATCGTGAACTCTTAACAATACAGGTACTCAGTCAAAGGGCCACAGCATGTTTTGACGGCCCCGGCCAATAAATACTCCTCAGAACCACAGCCCTATTTTCATTATTGTTGCCATGTTCCCAGTTTACTGCCCCAACACCAAATCCGGCAGAAACCAGTATGAGAAGTCACCTCCATAAAAGCCTCAACCAAAGGATCAAACAGAGAGCACTTCCAGGCACCACCAGCTTACCAGAGAAAGTGGCAAACCACTTTTGGCAACCTAAAATGCATGCTATACTGGCAGCACTCTTCAGACATCATTCGACCATGAGGTCACATTTCCATCCAAATCACTGTCACCAACTCTGGCTCCATGACTGAAATGAGTTTACTAAGTTAGATCTGGTTTGCAACAATAGGTTAAGTTGTACAAAAACTATGCCGATCCTTCCAGAAGCTGTGTTCAGTAATTTTAATGTGCAATGAGAACCAGTGGTTACCACACCACTGACATTCCCTTTCCTCTATGCCAACTGTTTTAAAAAAAACAACAACTTATGACCCCAATGCTTTGGCAAAATGTTAAGCACTCTAAAAGATCTGAAGTAAAAATTGCATGACCCTCTCAAGATCTGACTTGATGCGACTTCTGCCAAACATCTCAATCGATGTTGCAACTCAGCCAAGTCCTGCTTCTGATTTAATTACCCCTTATACTGCTTTCCCAGAACTGAAATGTATTTTAAACTGCTTCAACATAAGGTGATCTGCCTAAAAAGTACCCAATGACATGAATGAAACTAAAAATACAACCAAAGGACATGTTTATCTCATTTCCAAAAAAGAAATCACTTGCCAATAAGGTTCTGTAAGACAGGATCCCGGTACGTCTGAATACAATGTAACTTAACTAATGACAGTGAATTACGAGACCAATTATGAGTTTATTACTTACATATTAATTAACTTTTAATAAAACCAAATCCTACAATTGAAGACACATTCTAAGAATTTTTTTTTTTTAACTTTTGTTTAGAGACAGTGTCTCACTATGCAGCTCTGCCTGGGCTAGAACCTGCTATGTAGACCAGACTGGACTCAGACTCAGAGAGATCAGCCTGCCTCTGACTTACAAAATGAAGGAATCATCACCAACGCCCAACTAAGAATTTCTGTTTCAAAGTAGAGCTTTGCTATGTACTTATGTAGCTAAGGTTGGCTTCTGAATTGTAAAGTGATGTAAGAAATAATCCAACACATTGCACATATAAAGCAAACCCTTGCAACTCTCAGGTCCCATAAGATTGACAATTGGTTGTACTTGCAGAAAAATATGCAAAGAGCATACACAACACACTGAAAGCCAGATGTATTGTCTCTTACACAGCTGCTAAGTCACCCTCCTCTGTTTTACATGCTATGCAAAGCTGCACAGATTGTCAAAAACTTTTCAACCACAGAAAAGATGTAAACATTTCTCCTAAATCCTGGACTTTTCATCCTACACAACTGTATCCACGTGAACATATGAGCAATGTCATTACAGAATAAGGCATTAGAGACTTGGGATTAAAACATTCTCAATGATAAATAAGAGGACCTGGTTTCAAACATAGAAAGGAAAACGAAAGCCTTGAATTAGCTCTCCAGTGTAGGAGAAAGGCTACATGGTGATCTGTGAGATATTTTCTCTTAGTGATGAGTGGACTCACTTTTCCAACTCAGTCCAGTAGCCACCGGAAATTACAACAGAACATTCTTCTTCTCTTGTCTTCATGTATGTATATAGGGGTGTGTGTGTGTGTGTGTGTGCATTCTGTTTACTAGAGTCCACTTCGAGGCTTTTCAATGCATCTGAACAAGCACTGATCCACTGGGTGGGCAGGGAATGGGTCCAGTGTTGCGGTTTTGTAGAATGACAAGCACATTAATGGGATTCCCAAATACTATATTTTACTTGTGGCTTTTAGGCTTATGGGAAGAAAAAAAAAGCCTAGGAGTTTTTCAAAAACCAAGCAGACACAAAGAACAGAGAATTATAATTATAATAAAATTACCTGAATCACTCACAGTTTTCTTTCCCTGCATTTCTATTGTGCTAGCCAGTGCGACGGCAAATGCCTCAATCCCAGGACTCTTAGGCAGGAATTCAGGTTCAAAGCCTGTGTGACTTGGGAAACTGTTTCTAAACAAAAAATGGATAGAGTAGCTAGTGATAGAGTGCTTGCCTGCCATGACTGTGGTCCTGGGTTCATTTCCTAGTACTGGAAAAAAGAAAGGAAACCACAAATAACTAAAGCTCATTTCTCATGGTGTATGTATGTTATACTCTCCCACTAGTGCACAACTTGAGCTCTGCAACCTTCCTATTCCTCTTATTTCTGAAATAACAAATGTTTTGCTTAAAAAAAAAAAAAAAAAAAAAAAAAAAGATAAACACAACTTCTGGAATCACAAGCCATTCCTACCTGACAAAGAACACTCACTCAGTGCAATGAGGCAAAATCAGGCAGATGACTACACCAACACGGTCCATTATTAGATGTGATCACCCCGAGGGGGCCTTAGCAGTGGAAATATCTGCAGCTAAGATGATCAAGAGAAAAATCTGACTTGTCACAATTTTTAGGCAAGTGGGTATGGGATTTGGTGACAAACCTATTGTTATCTACCAAAACCTTTAAAAAAAAAAAAAAATTGGGTGTTTGTTGTTTCCCAAAATCATTTTAAAAGGACCAAACTTTGCTGTTATGAGTTTTTTCCAACTACAACTACCCTGAACAGGATAAAGGAAGAAAGACGGTTTTATAGGATCCATCGTTTAGCATGAATAAGGGTACTTCAGATCTGAAATTAGTTACTACCTGGTTGTGTTTATTAAAGCATGCTAAAATCCCAGCAATTTCGTAAAAGCAAAACGAGCATTTTTTTGTTTAACTTGTCAGGAAATAAACTGAGAAGCAGCCGGAACTTGCAGCTAGCTCCCCGGCTCTGCTCTTATAAAACGGTATAAACAAAACTTCCCAAAGCAATACTTGCTGATGAAATAGATAATTTCTTCAGGTGGGGAGGCAGGTTGTCTGGTTTCTTCAATTCCCTTAACCCTAAAGTGCACCATCCTACAACTGTGGTGAGTAAAATCTTACTCTGCATAGTTTTGCGTAAGCTTAGGTCTCTGTCTTCCCTATTTTAACAGTTCCCATTTTACCAGTGGAGAGTTTACATAGGTCAGAGAGATGGGTGGATGGATGAACTCTTTCCTAATGTTTGGTTTCAGTCTCGATATCTAGTTTGCACACGGTGGGAACATTCTCATCATCTTAACCGCTTCAGAGTCGGTTTAAGTTGTTCATCTCCCTCATTAGGATGTAATTTACCTGTAAGAACACTTTTTATGTTATAGTGGTTTGGGCCGTGTCTGCTTCTGCACACTCAATTCTGGGAGACCTTAAAAAAGATAAATTCAGTTTCTTGGCCCTCCAGATAAACCACCTGCAGGAGTGAAAGTCGGGGCCGGACACCACAAAACCGACAAAATTCCTGAGTCCCATGCACGCCCCATCCACACATATTACTCAAGTGTTTTCAGTAAGAAAGGCACCACAGCCGCAAATCGTTTTAAATCATTCCGAGTGTGCCACATAAAGTTGTGATTTTATTATGAAAACACCCTCCACGCGCCTTTGCTTTGGGGAACCTAAAGCTTTTAGCCCTTGTCTCTCTCTCTCTCTCTCTCTCTCTCTCTCTCTCTCTCTCTCTCTCTCTCTCTCTCTCACACACACACACACACACACACACACACACACACACACACACACACACGATTCCACAGCGTCCAGGTTCGGCGAGGGTCTTCGACTCATCGGAGAAGAATGCGGCTGATGAGTTATCTATTAATCCAAAATGTCTCAGCTAGGAAGACATTTCACCCAGCACTCTAAACACCGAAAGGGAGGGAGGGGAGCTGGGGTCGGAAGTCTTTTAACGAGAACTTTCCCAGAGTTTCTTCCTTCAAATCAACCATGCCTCCCTCCGATTTCCAGCATCAGACGCACAACCCAAATCTTGACCCTCCCCCGATCCCAATCATCTGAGGTCACCCGGGAGTCAGCTCTCGATTCCGCTTTTAACATCCCGGGGAGACAAAGCTGACATTCTACTTTTAAAAAGTCTCGGGAAAGTCCTACAAAGTTATGCAATGGGAGGCACGCGGACGCCCGTGGACACAGCCCCGCGCCCTCCGGACGCCGCGTCCCGTGGCGCACAGTCACCTCCCCCCGCGCGCACCCCAAGCGCCCCGAGCCCCCCAGCCGGGCCCCCTCGGTACCTCCTCCTCCTGGAGGTTGGCCTCGCTCGGGGTGTTCTCCTTCTCGGCTTTGCCTCCGCCGTTCATCTTCCCGGTCCTTCGTCGCCGCGCAGGGCTGGGGCGCGGGGCTGAAGCGAGGGCGCGCTCGCCCGCTTGCTTCCTTTCCCCGGCGGGCGGGCGAGCGAGCTGCGGGGCTGGAGCCGGGCGGCGCTGCAGGGAGCCGGGGCGGGCGGGGACCTCCGAGAGGCCGGGCGAGCCCGGGAGTCCGGACGCGGCCGAGGCGGAGGAGGCGAGGCGGCGGGCGCGGTTGGGACCGGAGCCGCCGAGGGCGCGCTGCTGGCAGGCTCTGGGCAGCGGGGCCGCACGCAGCGCGCTTTCTCTCGCCTTCCACCCTCCTCCCCTCCCCTCCCTCCCCCTCCTCCCCTCCTCCCTCCGCCCTCCCTGGACGTGAGCGGCCGGCCGCAACCCAGAGGGACGCGGCTCGGGACTGCGAAGCCCCCCGCGGGAGGAGGGGCACTGGGCGGAGCGGTCGACCCCAGGCCCTGTTTGGCTGGTGGGGGGGCGAGTGGTTGCTACCCGGGGTCACGAGGCCGAGGGGGACGGCGGGAGGAAGATGAGGTTCGCCCTCTCTCTCCAGACCCCGCGGCCTCGGCGTCCGTGCGGGCCAGTGTGCGTGGGCTTAGAGAGGGGTCGCGAGCTGGGGACCAAGCCCGCTGGGCGCGCGGGGTGGGGGGGACGGGGGACGAACTACTTTTGTTTGCTTGCTTTTCACGACGGATGTGCACTTCAACCCACCCTCCTTGGCAGTACCCGCCGAGACTCGGCGCTTCCCGCGCCGAAAGGTGACAGGCGCGGGAGACAGCCCACCACCGAACCCCACTTTTGCAGAACACCGCTTGCAACCCCACCGCCAGCGCGGGAGTCCAGCGAACCCTCCCTAGTCTTCCTGCTCGCCCGCTATCGCTGTCTAAGGCTTCCGGCCGCCTCTGTTCAGACTCGCACAGCCGGCTCCAGACTGTTCTGGAGTCGTTTTGTTTACTTCACTCTTTGGGGAGCCCCTTCCTGGAATACAAGACCGTGCCCCGTTTATCTTTGTCGCCCCGCCACAACTTAAGCAGGCTGCCTGGAGCATAGTAGGCAAGCACTCCTTATTTTATGTATTGGCTGAGTGTCCCTGCCCCTCAAAGGTCAGGACATTTATCTCTGGAGAATCAAAGCAATTGCCCAACCCCGGGGTGACCGCATAGCTTCCGTTTCCTCATCGGAGAAATGGGAGGAAAAAAAAAAAAATATATATATATATATATATATATATATATATATATATATAATATTATATACATCCCAGGGTTTGAGAGATTATAGGTGGGACAAGCGCAACCCTCCTCACCCAGCACTCATTCTTGCACAATTATGGTTTACAATAGGCGGAAGCTAGCATTATTATTAAGGAAGTTTCCATTTTCCTGGTCCTACAGGACTTTTCCAACAATAGATCCCGTAAACTCCTTTGACTAGTATGGACACTTAAGCCCCCCACTATCAATGGGTTCTGCCTGTCGGAGGAAGTTTGTCTGGCATGCCGCACCAATCACGATTTCTCATTTATGCCTTCCTTGGTTTAACCGTTTATCTCTTTTCTCCCCACTCGACATTCTTTACCCTTTCTGCTTTGAGTGCTGTTGGGGGTGGGGTGGAGGAGGCAGGGTGGGGGTGGGGTGGGAGCTGAAGATAAGGGCCCTGCCTTTAGGCTGTTGAAAGCGGTGTTGTGGAGACAAGATACCCCAAACAACTCCCAACAACTCCAAGGCAACATAATCGCTGAATCCTGGTTCAAATTATAAAAAGCAAGCTGCACGCAACATTTTTCTTTTGCTTCTAAAGGCGTTGTGATGTGAAAATCCATAGTGATACTTAAATTTTAGATAAGTTTTTTTTTTTTTAAGGGATCTGGAGATGTGGAAAATTTCTAAAAGAAAATGTTTTAAGTTGCCCTCATAAAGCCACCGCTCTCTATAGTAATAAAGGTGCCTCCTGGGAGGAAATGAACCGAGAGTCCTTGGAACAGCGGGAGAAAAGGTTCAGAAACAAAGCTACAACAAATCGGAAACTTTGTGTTTTGATTTATTGATTGTGTTGATTGGCAGCTCTTTGCCCGACATATTTTTCATTCAGTTATAAAAGGAACCACGAGGGGGCAATATGTTCCTGTGTTCCTGAGCAATGGCCGAGTGGTGGGCTTCAGTAGAACTAGCTAGCCCTTCTCCCTCCTCCTTGGCTATTCTTGCCTGTTATTGACCGAATACACTCCACAAAGAGACATTGTTTTCCTGAGGCCTGGCAAGGACCCAAGTATGAAAAGACAAGGTAGTCCTTAATGGTTCCAGTCGGGAAGGTTCTGTGGAGAGAATCTCACATCCATCTCCTGGCCAAAAAAAAAAAAAAAAAAAAAAAAAAAAAAGTGGGTTAATTCCTGCTTTTTTGTTGTTTTTGGTTTTTGTTGTCTTGAAGCCAAGCCAGAACTTTATCTTTTGTTAAAAAGTTACCAACCTCTAGTGTAAGAAAAAAAAATTAGTCCTGTGAGAGGAACCTTGTTTGACATATTCATTGTGTTCCCAGCATTTAAACAGTACCTAACACGTTATTTGTAATGAATAAACAGACTGGGCAGTGGTGACCCTTGCCTTTAATCCCAGAGCTCAGGAGGCAGAGGCCATCCTGCTGATCTACAGAGTGAAGTCCTGAAGGTGTGTAAGCATGGTCATTATGGTCACCAGACAGACATTGCCCACAAGAGGACTGAAGAGAGAGATTTAAAGAAATGAAAGGTAAAAATCACACCATTGTATTGACAAAGCAGGCAATAAAGCTGTCAGAGAGCCCAGCATAAGGTATGAGGATGAGATAATATGCCTGGAAGGAAGGGATTTCATTTTCTATCCTTTCAGCAAGGAATGGTATGTACTTATTTGGAAGAAAAATCGAGTAACATATTAACAAAACCCAAGGAAAAATCTGTAAACAGACTTCCACTATTTATAAATGTCATAGCTGTAGAGAAAGAGAAGGTGGGGGATGGGAGTTATATATTCATCCGGCTTTGAGTGGTCTTTATGACTTATTTGCTATTTCAAAGACGAAGTTTCAAGAGAGCTCCATGGTAGCTGAGAGTTGCCAGGCATGCTAGGAATTATAAGACAACAAAGGGAGTTTATATCCCGGAAAAATTGAGCTATTGACCTGGAGACATTTGCCCTCTCTCACCTGCCACCGCTCTACCATATTTTTGCCAGGCGTGCAAGGTTGCATACCAGGTTGAAAGGGAAATATTGTGTACACCTGTAGTTTTCATTACTCACTGTTAGGCTGGCAGTGTTCCTTTTGAGGCTTGCTTTAAGAAATCCAAACCCATAATTATGTCTTAAATGTTTGTCCCTGGGAATTGCAGGCATTAAAAGTCTATTTGGGGGCTATGGGCACTGCACAGAGTTCTGCATCCGTACTAACGTTACTGAAGACAGCTGCAGAATCTACCCTGTGTGTTGTCACTGTTAACTTTGTTGAGCCAAAGTTTGATTGGCTTTTTTTATTCTTAACAACTAGCTCCTGCATCACTTTTCTGCCACCTTCCTTCATGGGTGTTTTTGTAGTTTTGTTTTAGGAGACAGGGTTTCTGTGTAGCCCTGGCTATCCTAGAGTTTTAGAACTCACTCTGTAGGCCAGGCTGGCCTCGAACTCTGCGATCTTGCCTGCATCTGCCTAAGTGAGAGTGCCACCCGCACCCTGGCTATTTTTATTTTTATTTTATTCCTTTCATAGTAGTAAAAAAAAAAAATAAAGTTAGCTTAGCCTCTTAACCATTTAAATCCACAGTTCAGTAGTGTTAGATATATTCACACTTTTACAGCACTCCCTTTTTTTTTTTTTTTTTTTTTTACCACTTCCATGGTTCTAAAACTCACTATTTTCGAGAAATACAAACAGCCACAAGCTGGACCAAACAAGGAAGAAATATACAGATTCCCAGCTTGCAGCTCCAGCCAGTGTCTCAGTGGAGAAGGCCCGTACCAATGGCTAACCTTGCTGAATATGCTGTCTTGAAAGTGAATTCTCAGGGGAGCTATCCCAATTGATGCCACGCAGAAAAAAAAAAATATCTCCAGCAAATGCTGTTCATACTACAAAATTGTTAGCAATTATATATTTTTAAGTGAATATTGTTTTATTGTATCTCTAAGATTTAGGTGGCTTCTAAACAGCAATAAACAAAGAAATATAATTGTGTATCCACAAGTGAGGGGTCCTGCTATAAAACAAAATCAAGGCAATTTAAGGCTTCCGGGTGGTCGGGGTGGTACTCAGTGGAAACTGGAAGAAGTTTCCATCTTGAGGAGTTGGTTAGCAAAAAACACTCTTCAAGGGCAGATTATGACTCTGCAAGCAGCATCTGATTCAGATACTGGAAAAACAATTAGTTAAATTAGCTTGCAGTCACAGGCAAGAGAAACAGTACCCAATGTACATGTGGATCCTGCTGTGGAGATTTCTAGATAGAATGTTGAAAGGCTGGAGGAGTTTTGTTTATTTGTTTATTTATCAGCACTGGAAAATTCAGCTCACACCATGCAAAGTGAGCATTTACTGCTCAGCTGTATCCACAGCCTGGAAGGTTTATTTTATTTTATTTTATTTTCTACATTTTGTTTTGTTTTGAGACAGGGTTCACTCTGTAGACCTGCAACTCACTGTGTAGAGCAGGCTGGCCTCAACTCACAAAGATCTGCCTGCCTGCCTCTGCCTTGGGAGTTTTCCTCATTTTTAGTTATGTTCATTTTACAAAAGGATGGGGTCATGCCAAACATTTTCATGCATGTATCTTATGGACTTTGTTTGTGTTCACCCCTGAATTAACCTGTCTTCCCCCAGCCAGCTCCAAAAAAATAAAAAAATTTAAAAAAAATCAATCAATCAAAAAACAAAACAAACAAACAAACAAAAAAAAAAACCAAATTATCTCTTTCCTTCTTCCTCCTGGCCAAATATGAGTATTTCGGAGACAATTGAGACAATTGATCAGTATGTACTTTAAAATCCTGCAACTATGGCTTCCTTCCATGGTAAGTTCACAGCCTGAGACAGCTGTAGTACAGAGACCTCCTAGCAATACTAGCTAGCCCACCCGCTGTGCTATGGGCAACATGCTGAGCCTCAGGGCTGCATAGATAACAGGTGTGACTCCATGCAGCCCACCTGACTCCTGCTTTTCTGTGTTCATACCTGTGTTGTCTATCGATTCTTTAGTGTCCGTTCTGTTCCTCGTATCTAATCAGGGTGATAGGACCAAGAGGTGGGGTCTAGTGGGGATTTCTGTTTATTAGAG